AAGAGGAGAGCTGCGGGCGTGGTCATAGGTACCACGAGTGTGACATGGACATGAGGTGAGGTGACAGACATCACAGGAGTCCCTTCTCCCTGAGCTACCTACTCAGGCTCCAGAGTGTAGGTATGCCTTGGGCAGACCCATCGGGCCAAATATCTATAGGTAGGTAATGATGTCCCATCCCCCATTCTTCTGGAGCCCCTAGATTCCACTGAAGCAGGAAGAGGCTCCCCACCTAGCCCGTGTCTTTCAGAGATGCATCTAGGCCATAGGAGCAGACCAGCAGGGACTGTATCCAAGATCCCACCCCAGAGCCCGCAGGCTGGCCCCACCCATCCATAGTCCTTCAAATATGATGCCTCTCTAACTCTGCCCCTAAACTACAAACACAGAGGCAGCTGGCTGAGCTTGGAGGCAAGTGGGCTGAGCAAGGGACCAGAGTGCCTCAGGACCAGAGTGCCTCAGGAGCTGTAGCTAAGGGGATGGAGCGGCTGCCTCTCAGCTCCGGCCATTGTGGTTGGGCAGAGGCGTGGTCCTGTAGAGCCTACATCTTCTGATCTTTCAAGAGAAGCCAGAAACCAGTGTTTTTGTGTAAAACGAAACCACCAGGGTTTAACAACACCAGCAACTAAATTGAAGCTTTTATCTCAGTGAAGGAGTCTCTTGCCCACACCACCCCCAACCCCTAGGCTTTGGATTCTCCACACACAGTAGGCCAGATGTGAGGGACCTCAGTTAGACCCTTTCCGAGTTTCAGGAAATCCCATCCTCTCTCCTCTTCAGGCATCTTGGTTTACAGATGAAGAAACTGAGGCTGAAGAGGGGAGGTAACTTGTCCAAGTTCACACAGGTGATTTATCAAGGCAGATCTCTCCCGCCACCCCCAGCATCTTCACCCTCCCTTGAGTGGGGACAGCTTTTCAAACAAAGGTAAACTCTGGGCCAAGGATGTGGCTCAGTTGGTACAGTGTTTGCCCAATATGCATGAAGCTCGTGGTTCTACTCCCAGCACACAAAGCACGTCTGGAGGTACACACCTGTACTCCCAGAACTTGGGAGGTGAATGCAGGAGGATCAGAAAAGTTCAGGGCCATCCTCTGCTACATAGCAAGTGTCAAGGTCAGCCTGGGCTACATAAGACCATATTTCAAATACATACATACATACATACATACATACATAGTAAATTAATGATATACTATGAAAGTAACACACCAACACACCAAGTCCAAGAGGGGAATGGCATGTGTGTGTGTGTGGGGGGGAGGGTCACCTTTGGAAAACCCAAATCGTCAAGAAGCTAAGCCTAAACAGCTGTATGCCCCTCTTAGGAGCAAGCTGCTTTCCCTCTCTGGGCCTCAAAGATACCAATGGACTCAGGGTCTGAGCCTGGCCAACCTACAGTTCTAGGCACCTCTGAGGTCTCCCTACAGCCAGCAGTTTGCGGCCTCTGATGACTATAAGGCAAAAATAATAATAATAATACTGGGCGAGCAAGTCCACACCAGCCAGGAAAGAACACCACAGTTTTTAGAGAAACCCAACTCTTGGTTACTGGAATTCAAAGGGGGCGATGGTAATACCATGGCGGGGGGGGGGGTAGTTTAACCACCATCCTCCAGTTAAACAAAAACACATCTGCTTTGACTTCATCTCCTCCCCAGCCCCTCCCCTCAGCTCAAATTTTACCCCTTCATTTGAAAAGTTAAATCAAATGCAAACAATTGATTTCATGCCACAGCGAGGCTGGGGTTTGAAGCATGGAAAACTTTAAGCACGGGCTTTTTCTGGGAGCAATTACAAAATGCTGGGGGAGGGGCGTGAGAAGGCAGATAAATATAGAGAGCACTCTGGCACGCTCTTTGGACATGGAGCATCAATAATGATGCTGGGGACCACTGTGAGATGTCACTCAAGAGGGAGGGAGGGCTGGAGAGATGGCTCAGAGGTTAAGAGCACTGACTGCTCTTCCAGAGGTCCTGAGTTCAATTCCCAGCAACCACATGGTGGCTCACAACCTCTGTACTGAGATTTGATGCCTTCTTCTGTTGTGTCTGAAGACAGCCAATTTTATATGTATATGTATATGTATATGTATATGTATATGTATATGTATATGTATATGTATATGTATATGTATATGTATATGTATATGTATATGTATAAAGTGTAGCTTTAGCTGTCCTGGAACTTGCTCTGTAGACCAGGCTGGCCTCGAACTCAGAAATCTGCCTGCCTCTGCCTCCCAAGTGCTGGGATTAAAGTTATGCGCCACCACCGCCTGGCTAAGGTACTGACTCTTTACAATCCGTGTAGGTGAAACCTAAAGTTGGTAGACTGCTTATATCTTGCTGGCCCTCAGCAACTGGTACCTGTGTTTATTACCCCACAGCACAGATGAGGAAACAGAGGGTCTGAGAGGAAAGAAGCTTGTCTAGGGTCACACCACAGTACAGATAATAAAAGTTCAATCTACTGCCTCCCACTGGATTCTGAAGGTTAAAACAGCCCCAGAAATAAGAGGGGGGGGGGGGGAGCCAAAATAACAAACATACCACACAGTCCAGCCCTGGTGTGCCAATGACGATGGGCTGTTGTGCTCGGGAGCTCAGTCAGCATTCCTGTGGCCACGTGGAGAATTCTGAGCACAAGTTCTCAGCCCAGCTTGCTCCGCTCCCCACAAGGCTCTCCTCGAGCTCCAGGGTTTTTGTGTTAATAAGCCCAGTTAGATAGACTTCATGCTGAGAACTTCAAATTCTACCCCTGGATTCCACATCCTGGATTCACCCCATCCCCTCTTTCCCGGAAGCCTGAAGCCCACAGACGCTCTGACAGGGACATCACTGGATCTATCACGGGACTTAAAATTGTAGGTCCTTGAGTCCAGTCCCAGATGCCCAAGTGGCTTGCATATGTTCCAGGGCGGGTCACTGTCCCTTCAAGAGGTTTCTTCACATGTAGGAAAGGATAACATCTCCTATCTTTGCAGGATAGGACAGGAAAGGGCCTGGTGCTGGGCTGCGTGGGCAATGAGGCAGAGGTGGACCGCAGGAGATTCCTGGGTTATTCCCAGCCTGGAGCTCCAGGCTCCCTTCCCGGGCTGTGTCCAGGAGGGAGGAGGTACATCTGAGTAACAGTAAGGAAGGCCGAGTGCTTCCTTCCAGCACAGCCCATCAGAGAATGGGCAGAGCCCGGGCAAAGGTGGTTGACTGGATCGCAGGGTTCAGAGGCAATGACATAACCCAGTACACTCTGATGCAATTTCTGCTGAGACTGGAGCTGGGGACAGCCACTGTTTTCTAAAGTACATGAACCTGCTAAACACGTTACAAGCTGTACAGAGTCCTTCCTACCAATAGGGTCTACAGACCAATGACTTCCAGATCCCGTACACCCTCAAGGAGAATTCCGAGCCACAGTGAGATCAGAGCTGTGTCCTGATCACACAGCTATGCCCCATCTTGTTAGTACCATGTACTGGCTGCTTGCTGTGACACGGTGTGACATCTTTATCCTTTTCTTTGGGGACTACTTCATCTTGATTCTATCATGTGACACTCAAATTTTCAAAGCCTGAAAAGAATTTATGATGCCAGTGTTTCCCTCAACGTGGGAGTTGTGCACAACTGATGCCGGCTAAGTATGTGTGGATTGAAGACACCCACCGTCTGGCCTGTCGGGTCTTTTGGTTCACTGTAGTCCTAACATAAAGATGTGACCGTCAGGCTGGGGACCAGCCCAGACCTGTCTCAGTCCACCAGCAGGCCTCTGAGAAGTTGTGTTCTGTCCTAAGGGAATCAGAGACAGTTCAGGAACTGGAAAAGGAGGCAGAGACAGGAGATGGGTGGCAAGTGGGGCTGGAGAGGAGAGAGCTGGTTGGGAAGACCAGAGAAGCTTGCAGGATGAAGGGAGGACTGAGGGGGCTCTCCTTCATCTCCTGGGCTACAGAGAATGGGCAACAGAGTTCAATTCCTGATGTCACTTACCTACATTGTCTAAAACTCGCTGTCCCTATTTGTAAATGAGATGTCTGTCAGGAGTCAGGGCAGTTTTTAGCACACAGTAGGCATTCAATAAACAGTTGTCCTCCTCACTAATTCTCAACCAGACTGAGAATCTGAGTCTGCCTGAGGGGGTCTTTGAATTCTTCTTGGAGCCAAAGGTTCTTTCATGCCTTATCCCTCTCTTGTATGTATGAGTGTATGTATGTATGTATGTATGTATGTATGTATGTATGTATGTACGTATGATTTGGGGACCTAATCTCCCTAGGTAGCTAGAGTGGCCTCGAACTCACAGAGATTTCAATCTCCAGACTGCCAGCATCTCTCCAGACTCACTCACCGCGCCAGCCCTCTCTTTTAATCAGGATTCACAGGCACACCCCAGAGTCCTTTGCAAGGCCTCCTTCCCCAGCCCCATTAGTGTTGAAAAGGATTACCATGGACAATGTGGGGTAAGAATGAGGTTTTCCTCCCGCTTGGGTCCTGCCGCTGTGACTGTGCCTTTAACCCTTTCTTACCCACGCTGGGGTAGGCAGCAGCCCCACTCTCACCTGCACACAGCCCAGAGCCGTTCGCAGGCTCCTTCCGTTTCCTGGGCTCCCCCACTACCAGACAGACACTAGCACGCGGTCTCCGATCTCTCCCGCCAAAGATCTCAGCACGTGCCTTCTTCCAGCTGCTTCCCAACTACTTTAGATACCAACGGGACAGAGTGGCTAGGGACCACGAAGGGCGCCGCTGTGGATTCGGAGACGCGTGGGCACCGGGAGCAGGTGCTTAGCACGAGACTGGGGTCCTAGGTAACGGCTCCGCGGGCACCACGTCCATCATCCTGCCGGGCCCCAAGAGATGCGCGCGGGGTTCGGGGTGGGAGATCGTGGGTCCCCAGGGAGCCTGACCTACCACGTGTCCCCACCGCGGCTGGGACAGTCACTGTGGGACTGGCGGAGCGCGCGCGTGGGAGTCGCACTAGCCGCGGGCGCAGCATGCTTTCCTTACCTGCAGGCACTCGTGGGGAGGGTCTGTCCCGGTGCGCGCGAGCAGCGGCCCTAAGGAGCACAGTGGCGGGAGCGTACTCTGGCGGCCACCTCCCCCGCCTGCTTATGAAGGCGGCCGGGCCGAGCACCCGCCGGCCTCCCCGCCCCCGGCCGCCCCGCCCCCGGCCCGCACCCTGAGCCCCAGACGGTTACCTCTGCGTTGCCAGGGCGCCCCCTGCCGGGAGCGCGGCGCTCGACTCGGCCCATAGGGCTGCAACAGGCAGGGTAGCCCGCCTTGCCTCTGTCTTTCCCTGGGGCTCATCCTGGGCTCAGGGTGCAGCTGGCTTGTCTTTGGGTTTGATTTCTCTGTAGGAGTCTTTGTGTCTCTCGGTGGTTGTCTTCCTGTGCCTGACCCTGCGCGTCTGTGTATCCACTTGGCTTCTCTCAAGTCTCTGTGCGTCTCTCTGCCTATACATCCTTGTCTGTAACCATGAGCACCTCTGAACCCTTACCCCTTTCCTATCTACTTTCTTTTTTGCCCTTAGCTAAGTCAGTAGGAGGCAGAGGGAGATCCCTCGGGCATGGCCCTCCCTCCCTAATGTCTTCAGAAACAGGGACTCAGGACATTCTGTCTGTCCCAGCCAGAGGCCCCAGGACCTGCCCGGGGCAGACCTCTTCTCAGGCAGTGGAGTCAGACTGTCCAGGCCCACAAGCCTGTTCTGGTGACCTTGGGGGACTGGCCAAGGCTCTATAACCGGCAGACACTATCCTCTGGTTTCCCTTGCTTCCCATTATTGGGGGAGTTATAAGAGACCGTGTTTCGAAAATGCACAGGAAACAAATTCTAGATCAATGGGAGAGGAAAGGCAACCGCTGGGTGCTTGTGGGCCTCACCCCGGTTCCCCTGGGGCCACCACCTCCCTTCCCTGAGCCAGTCTGGGTTTGAAGTCTCTGATCTGTTTCCTGCTGGGAGCTCCTACAGGTCAGTTTGAATGCCACAGGGGTTGAATGACTCCTCATTTCCTCTTAAGAGGAGGGTTTTACCGGCTACTGAAGCTGCCAGAAGCCATTTGTGCCTCTGATCCCCAATAGCCAGAGATTTGAAAGCAAGGATCATGCATCCCTGAGCTCATCTTCCTCAGCACCAACGCCCCAGGATTGACTAAGTCTATCCTGCAGTTCCGTCTTAGGTCCAGGTATCTTCTATATGAGCTCTACCATTGAGCCCATTGTACAGGAGGAAAAGCAAGGCCCAGAGACAACATATAACTCATCGCTAAGTTCAGGGCCAAAACTGGAGTCTGATGCCAAAAACCAAGAATGTCTGGATTTGTTTTCATTTGTTCCTGTATTTTAATAATTAATGCTGTTTATTTACAGTAGTGCTAGGAAATTTCCCTTAAGAAATAAGTTTATGTTTTTACAAAGTGAGACCAAGTATCGGATGAATCACTCCTTATTTGTGTATTTCATAGCGAGGTCTTGATGGCAAAAGTCATGGGGGTGATGAATAAATGAAGCTTTGGACATTTGACATCCTTGTCTGTAAGAAGCCGAGAGTTAAGACAGCAGTGAGCTCAGAACACAACCATTGGCAGTTGCTTGCTAGCACCAAAGGACTCAAGATTACAAAAGGCTTGAGATAATATCGGCATCTGTGTGCCAAGGGACATCCGTATCACAGGTCTTCCTTCCCAACATGGGCAGAGCTGAGAACTGGCAGCAGCAGGAGTTGAAGGTGTCCTGTCTCTTATACCATGGGCCCCTCAACACCATCCATGGGGAATGAGCAATTCTGGTTTGGTTCATGGCTAACCTGAGACCACTGTGTCTTCATGGAGAATGGCAAGCACTCTTCAAGCGATGGGAGTGGCTGCTTATCCCCCCCACCCCCCGCCGCCACCTTCTTCACTACGGCTTCCCTGTTGTTAGTCTCTGACCCTCTGACCCTCAAGAGTTCAGTTGAAGAACATAGTTCAGTGGTGTAGCACTTGCCTATGTGCGTAAGACCCTGGGTCCCAGATTCAGCACAGAAGCAAGCAATCAACCGAGATGGTGTCTCCCAGCATCCCTTGATTCCCTGATCTCTGGGTACCACTTTTGATGCTGCCTAAACATCAGGAGGAGGCCAGCATTAGGAGCCCCCCCCCCCCAGCTCCCGGCTCTAGCTTTGTTCTAGCTGGCTGGTAGGCTGACAAGGTATCTCTGGTCCAGAACATTTGTAAATGCAGCCTAGATTCTGGGGTGCCAGGCCTGCTCAGCTGGTGGAAGCAGCTCCTTCCGTAGATCTCACACCATCTTTTCATACATGGTCTCTGGGGTACGTACGATTCCTAGATGAAAAAATGGGCAAACAGCACCACTTGACCTCCAAGCTCCCTTGCCTGAGAGCTATTCGTTCTTTCTCTTTGTCCATATTCAAGTCTAGGCCTAAGCAAAGCTCCAGCTTTTCAACTCCCAGGGTCCCCCTGGCCCCACCTTCAGCTCAGTATGAAAATGAACTTGGAGATTTGGAAGGAGGGGCCTGCTGTATGGGTTCCTGGTCCACGTAGTGAGTCAGGCTGCTCAGAGCAGCCTTAAATACAGAGTGGGGAGTTCACAGTTGGGAAAGTAAAGTCCACTGTCAGCTGTCATTTGAGGAACACTTCCTTTGTGCCTGTCACCCAGATGCAAAGTTCTCCTTACAATAAGACTTGTTTCATAACTGTGGAGGCAGCCTCTCTTTAAGGGGGGTGGGGCAGTCTCACTGGACAGTGGTGATACATGTCTTCAACCCCAGCACATGGGAGGCAGAGGCAGGCAGATTTTGAGGCATGGGCAAGTTTGAGGCCATCCTGGTCTGAGAGAGAGAGAGAGAGAGAGAGAGAGAGAGAGAGAGAGAGAGAGAG